CAAAACAATCCATCATACTAACAAATCAGTGCGGCAACAATAAGCTTTCACTGGTCATCCGCACTACTGAACAAAGCAAACTATGCACAAAACTGCATTCAGATGAATAGCAAGAATAGCTGCTGTGAGCGAGCAAAACAGAACATACCCTTTGAAATGTTCGTGTGCTTTCATCAAATGCGAAATGCATAATTCGTGGAAGTTCGCTTAAGAAAGCTTGCTGAAAAGTTACAGATGAAAAGGATGTTTGCAGAACTGATTCAAAAAAAAAAATGTTTCTACAAAGCAACTCAAAATTTCCTCCAAATCACATTCATGGTACAATGCTAAATAACGAATGGAAATAATTACGGGATATTTGATAAACGGAGTAATAATGATTTCGCTCAAAATTTGGCTATTGCCATCCGTTATATACTGTTCCAATAATCCAAACATCTTCGACCGCATGCTCTCAGCAACAACATTTTCCTTGGCGTCATAACAGGCCGCGAACTAAAATGGCGCTTTAGTTAATATCATCACAGTTTCTTCTTCAGTTTTAAGCATCAATTGTTCATACTCACCAAAAAACTTGTAATACTGCCAAGGATGTTGCGCATTTCAGGATTTACAGTTTCCGTCGTTGTTAAAACAAGCTTATCCAATAATTTCACCGCCTTTTTCTCGGTGAGTTGCTCCTGAAGACAGCGCGATCAAAAAGTGATGTGTGGCCTTGATTTGCAAAAACTATTGCTTGAAGTGAACAATTCGGCAAAAAATTAGGATTGGGCATTAAAAAATATGAGAAAATAGCGCCGGAAAATGAATTAGCAGCCACTTCGAGTATCAAAATGGCAAAAATGAAAAACATTAAAAACTGACCCTCTTATGTTTCAAAACGATATTTAATAGGTTTACTGCTTTCTTATAAGTAAGCTCGCCACCTTTTCTGCGCAAAGCCTGTTGGGCGCATTCTACTAATGGCAAAATAAGGTCCTGCAATGAGTTTATAATTATTAGAATGTCTCTGCTACACTTATACACTCTCTGAGAAGTAAAAGCAGCTGCAACTCCGCAAAGGTGAGAAAGTACCGACAATCCTGATGATTCGGCAACCCACTAACCACTGCTTTGTATGTGCTTTCCTGATGTGACACTGCTATCAGCAGAAGGTCGAAGCATTTTGCGCGAAA